CACGTAGTATGCCTCCCGTCTTTGTGTACTTGCCGCTGTGCGTTAGTCAATTGAACCGCGACCAAGTTGATTGGCTGGAACATTGTAACAGACCAGGCAACTTGCGAAATAAGGTTTGCCCTTTGTTTAAATGTAATACGAAATAACAATGTCCTTACATGGATATGTCCATCATGCAAATATAGTGGAAATAACATTGTCAGATGCCACGACTTACAGTGTCAGATAGCCATTCCCTTGGTTTCAGCGTGCGCATGTCGCGTCGCGTAGTACATTCGCAAGGCATTTCATGAAGATTCATAGACACAACAATGTCCCTACATAAAACGTATACATCAATCAGTAAGAAGCAACCTACAGCCTAGTAAAACTTAAACGTATCTGGCTTAACTCTACAACATAAGATTAGTTTTTCCTGTTGTACAACTATGGCAGATATTCCTGATTCTACTAGGCTCCAATCCAATGAAGATTAGTTTTAAGTTTTTAAAAAACAAAATGAAAAGACAAAGTTTTAGATATTACAACTCATGACATGTCCAATAGTATTTGCTAAAATAATATGTGAAAATTGAAATGCTCATTTACAGGTCAGCAAGTTAAAAAAAAAGAAACACGTTTTTTACAAACTGGAGCCAACAATATCCCAAAATGATCAAAATGGAAAATGTAAGCAGAGTAGAAGAAAATAGGTAGGGAAAATTGCACTTCATTATAAGTTTTCAAAAAAATTTGCAAATCATTGGTAAACTTTATTAAGTTTCATAATTAAAATTATAAAGGTTTCCATGAATTTGTAAATATTTTTGTGAAAATATCAGTGGTTTGCAATTTTCCCAATAGGTACATGTCTGCAGGATAAGACCAAAAGAAGAAAACTTCAGATAGGAAATTTAGCCACTGATCTTTCCGTAGCCCACTGCATTAAATTCAAAGAAAATCCTACATACGACATGGATAAACCCATCAAAATCATAGAGAATGAAAAATTAAAGAACTGATACCTACAAGAATCAAATAAACATAGCACGACACATGAAAATTGTGGAATTCAAACTTATTTCACAAATACTACGGAACAGGTTAATTGCGAGTACTAAACTCATCCGTACCTTTCATTGTTTCTGTCGTCAAGTACAGAGTCAACAACTTCATCTTCGGCCGCTGATAAAACCTCTATGCTCTCCAGTGTTATCAAGTCCTTCTATCAATATAAAGAATCAAGTAACATCAACTCCTCCTATTAATATAAACAATTAACTAACTCACCACTGTTCAGAAATTTAATTTGCAAAGTACATAACACATCCTTATGCATCTAAAATTGGTGAAGCGATGTCTAACCTCTGAACGGAACCGCTTGTCCAACCTGCGCAGTTTGGACAGGACTTTGTCCGAAATCTGTAAGACAATTGTACAACATTTGTTACTGCAAACTTGTACTAGAATGACAAATATTAAAATACAACACAAATAATGGTTCTATTATGATTAGTAATGCTGTCGGCATCAATTGGTAATGAAACATACGAAAGGTGAAGTGATGTGGCGACTTGGGAATTTTTCGGCAGTAAGTCGAGTACTTATTTTGCTATCGTTGCACGAATGCATATCCCCTACGTCTGTCGCTTCAACACCTCTTCCTCTTCCTCTTCCCTTTCGTGTGCCTATTACAATTTGTCCCGCTCCCAATGTTTGGGCAACCTTACCAGCAGAAGGATGTACATTGTCTGCTTCTCCTCGCATTGGTGACAAGGTTTGCAAATCATCAAAGGAAGATAAACTCTGTTTTGCAACGTTCTTCATGGCCAGAAACTGAACCGAAAGAGATTTGGTTTCTTCGCTTGCGTATGTTTCCTTCAACGCAAGGCCACGGTTGTTGTGCATGTCCCCAACTTCTTGGACGGTATGCAACTGTCCAACGTGCATATCAATTATCTCATTGGACAACATTTCATTCACATAATTGTCCTCCCAATCCACCCCTGTAAATCTTGAACATTATCCTGATTTGGGCTACCATAATAATTTGGGAAGACCACGCCGCCATCATGCAACTCGACTCCCATGGTAGGGTCAACACCCTTTTCCTCTGAGCGAGGCAATTGTGCTGTTTCCGATAAACCTGCCTGCACTTGCTGCATTATTTGCTTCATTTCAGCAATATGTGTCTGTTTAGTAAACGGTTGTTTCCCAGACAATATAGCTGCAACCAGTTCGTTCAGCATTCCTTTCAGTTCACCAATGTTGGAGGATATGTTAATGTTACAATTTCTTTCAGTCGACTCCACCTAATCACACAATCACATACATTAACCTGCTACGATATTTCATCTTCAAGTAACCTCTGTGAACTGTGTGAAGCATGTGTATTGATTGCTTTTGCTTACCTTTGCATTGTCAACAGCTTCCTTCCCTCGGAAATTGACCAACATGTCCCTTATTTCCGCATTGCTGTGAAGCACTTGCTTCATGGTTTCCTTCAGTTCACCAATGTCGGTCTCAACCTTGCTCAAACGAACATCATCAATCCGTGGTTTCTGTATAGATCGTTAAGGTGTAGTGGTTTCTTGAATGAACTTCCATTCTTAATTTTATGCAACTTCCATTTTTACTCCAGATTCAATGAGGCTGAGCTGCTAAGGGGGTTATACTTCGCTCAAATGGAGGTAACCACCTTAGCAGGGGCCCTGCTGAGGAAGGCAGGTATATCTAATAAAAATTAATTACTCCATTCGTCTGAAATGGAAAAAAATGTTGTTGTAAATGATGCTCATCTGGTGTGGATAAAAACTTCACAGTCGATCCCATGTTTACCACTTTACCTTTTCCCAATTACATAAACAAAGAGAAACTTTCAATTACAAACTAACTAACAATAACTGAACGACAATGTTTTGACCTTTTTACAAGGTTAAAAAACCAAAATCTTCAAGCTTTTCCAAAAATCTGACTTCAGAGCTTAACCAAAATTCATTGCGTAACGGAAGTAGTACATAAAATTGAATTTGTAAGGCTACAACATCATCCACATGGAATGGGTCACTGCTTGTCACCTAGTCATAGAAACACAAATTCTGTCTATCACCGTTATCCATAACACAGGTGGGGCAATGCTGTCAAATGTGCAGAACGAATGGGTTGATTACCTCATGTTGCTGCAACATTTGCTTCCTTCCCATAAGTCTCCTCGTCTCCCGTATTTCGGCATCACCCCAATCATTTAGCCGAGGGATGGAGCGTGTAGTAGCCGACATACTCTTACAGGGAGGGGCAAAACGATCCAAGTAAAATAGCTGCATTATAAGGGGGAAAAGATATTTACTATACACTTCTGAGCAAGATAATCCGTATTCGCTAACAATGCATACAACTTACAACACAATCATATGTATGTGTTTATGTATGTCGATGGCAGAATCCCCATGCAGCTTTCCGGTTCAAAAGATAAGCTTTTCGTGGTTACAAAACATGTGGCCCGTACAGGTATATTTGTCATGCTGTTCAATAACAGGTAAGTTTGTATTTCGCAACGACTGTCATTTTATTGAACCATATGCACAGCAATGGATGAAATATGTAATCGGCATGGTACAAACAAACAACGGTCGATTACGTTACCATTAGAAGGAAAACACATCCAGTTGCCTGGCGCTGAAGTTTCATCTTATACTTCCGAACACCTTTCACAAGGAATTGCAGTGTCACCTTTGCCCAATTACATGCCCCCATACCGGTCACGTCCTTCACGGCATGAACGAATGACAGGCTCAACGCGGTCATTGTGGTAGGACACAACATGGCCCCCAACACGTACAGCGCAAACTTCCTCCGAAACTCGTCATCCGCACCATCAGTCTCAGTCAGATAAACTCTCAACTGGTTCAAAGGAATGATTCCCTTAACAGCTCCAACCTCTTCGTAGATATTGGGATATGCGTCTATTGAACCAGTGAACTGCACGTCATTGCCTTCTGACCGTATACCTAATAAGACATGCACTTCCTCACAGGTGAGCCTAAGGTGACGGCCATGAACAGTCAACGAACACGTGTCGGGATCGAAGTTCTGTACCAACCATTGGCACATGTTGTGATCTATACGGATACACTTTAACCCGAGGAGGCCACCAAACCCAATATCAATGACTGCCTGCTTTTGTGCTTCGCTACACCGGTTCACGATATCAACAATTCCCTTCAATGATATGCGGACTTGCATTTTAATATTAATACAAAAAATTAACCAACATGGTGTCGATAGCAGGTCCTCCCCAAATGCAGTTACGAAAACACTAAGCACGTAAGTACCTTTGCAGATTTCTTTGCAACTTCTTCGCCCAGTTCCTTGGCACTTGTCTTAGCCATGTCCTGAAACCTCTTATTCTCATCACAGGGGAGTTCCTTCCACTTTTCCTCAATATCCTTTTGGCTCTGTAAGTGTTACACCAATGTGACGCACATACAGGACGAATAGGAGCTGTAAGTCCAAAATAATTGTCACCAAAAGTTGTATCACTCGCAATGTGTGCACATTTTCTGGTATTTACATATGTTTGCACATACAAATTACTATTTCGCACACAGTTGAAATAAAAACGGACATGGAAGTTTACAAATAATCGGAGTTTATAAG